GTTCGGCTGAGTTCTTTATCTCTTCATTTGATGTTCTAGGGTTTCAGGATTGTTGATTCTCTGTTTGGCTTCGTTTTTCGGATCTTTGTTGTAGAGGGACAGCGTGGTGCTTCTGCCTAGAGCGCCATCTTGCCGGACCCTCCGTGAAACTATTTTTAAGAACATTTTTTTAACAGGTAAATGTAGGTTAATAGATTATTGCATATTTACTATTGCTTAATTGTCAAACTGAACATAATTGCGGGGATTTAATAAAATTATTCCAAAATATCCAGGTAACAGCACAGTAGGTTAGATGGAGAAAGATAAATGACAACAATGTGTCAGTGCCTACCCTGCCGAGTGTGATTTTAGTCTAATTGTCACATATGGGAAAGAAAACAGAGTGAATAAAACAATACTTACATAATTAATCAAATTAGATGCTTTTGATAGAGAAAGATCCTTTAAATAATTTGATACAAATGTAAACATGATCTCCATTGTATAATACAAAAGAACTTTAAAAAAAATTATTGCTTTATTGGGATATGCTAAATTTTTTTCAGATGCAGTGCCTTCATAAGCCACTTGAGATGAAACTCCAAAATACCATTCACGTATCTGAAGATGGATTCTAAGGTATTGTGAATCATAAGAGTAAAACATGTGAAATTATCTGGGGAAAAGTCCCGGAGGGAGAAGGAAGCCACAGAGACTGAGCATACAGACAGAAGAGTGAAAATTAAACCGTAGTGACTAACAGAAATCAACAGATCCAAGAGGGGACTTGAGGGAGGGGGGATAACTATGTAATGAGCAATTTTGTATTTAATAAATTAAATAATTAAAATTAAAATACTGTGGGGGTTTGCAAGGTGAAGCCTTTTCGCTATCTCCCCTATGAAATCCTCAGTGAATTCTATATTGCTCAGGAATGGTTTTATGTGAATCAATGTATTTGAAAAGATACTTTGAGTAAATATAAAGTCTGAGGTTTAGAAAATATGGGACGGAAAAAAAAATAGGGAGAACATGGTTACCTTAATATCTGTGAATCTGTTGAACTATCACCGAGAAGCTCAGCATTTGGAAATAAAAGGTATGAGTCAGAGCACATCAGAACAATCTGACCTGCTTCCAACTGAGAGAGGAAAGTAAGTTAGCTAACAGTGGGGTTTCTTGATATGATGGCTATTTACTCCTCAACCAAAGCCATTTGCCATTGGGTCAACTCTGACTCCTGAGTAGAACTGTGCTCAGTAGGGTTTTCAAAGGCTGACTTTTCAGAAGTATATCGCCAGGCCTCTCTTTCGAGGTGCCTCTGGGTGGACTAACATCCAACCTTTTGGTTAGTAGCTGAGCGCCTTAATCATTTGCACCCAGGGACTCCATCCACTCCTCAACCCCCCTCCAAACCCAATTTTAACTTTGGGGAAACAAAAAGAAAATCCGCACTGGCACTGGGAAGTAAGAAAGGGGCATGTTGGTCCACGTTTCAAGGAATGTTTGCTGTTGATTAAGCATAGCAGACAAAACTGAAGGAAAACGCTGAGGGCCCAAACAGATCTCTTCCCAGAAGGTGGTATGATGTCATGGCAAGAACCAGGATGGAGATAGAAGGCTCTCGGAAGTGTCCTTGACCACAGCCCTTATTTTGCAGAAATGAGAACTGATGGTTAGGCCACATGGAAACAGATGGAAGACACAATAACTAGAAATGATTTTGAAAATGTATTCTTGATTTCATTCAACAAATATTTGCAATCCATATTGTAGACGCTAGAAAGGAAGCAGTAAACAAGGCAAACTGTTCTGAATCTTCCATTCTTATGGGGAAGATAGACAATAAACAAATCAACAAAAAAACCAAACGAGTAAAGAATGTGATTGAAGGAAATACCATCTGTGCTGTGAATGAAGACAAGCATGGTAACGAGACAGAAAGTGAGTAGGTGACCACAGAAGGTCTCTAAAGAGGTGGTATTTGAGTAAAGGCCTGAGTGGTGTGAAGAAAGAGCCCTCCGAAAATGCTGAGAAAGATATTTTGGGAGCAAAAAAGGCCGATGGAGCTCTGAATGTAAAGAGGCTCAGGTTATAAAGAGTGTAATTCCGAGAACTGCGAGAAGGACATGTGTCTGGAGGGGAGGAAGAAGAAAAAGAGTTCTCTAAGAATATTAGCATTTGAAAGCAATAGAGCACCTAAAGGTAGCTGACTTCTTATAACTGAAAGCATCAAGAAATCTGGCTCTCTCACTGCTGAGACAGGAAGCAGGAAAAGAAAAGAGATTGACTAACCCTGAAGTGGAGATGAGCATAACCCGAAAAGCTGATGCAGAGCTGTGACTTCACTGAATCTACAGAGTAACCTTCCAAAGGGACAGTTCTTTCCTAGGTGTGTTTCTGAACCAGGCTCTGCACACTTTCTAAAAGCCGATGGCTCACTGAGATTATCTTAATCATTGTTCTGGTTTAAGATCTTCAAGGAGGATTTGACAGCATTCAAGACCCTGGAAAGGAGATTTAAAGAAGGTAGTCTTAATCCTAAGTGCACATTAGAATCACCTGGCAAGCTTATAAATATATTCATTTATTTACATTTATCCATACATGTTTGGACTCCACTTTAGAAAAATCAACTCAGAATTTCTGGAGGGTGAGGCCTGGTCATGGACATATTTTCATGTCTTTTTTGTTTATTGTTGTAAATTAAGTGAAAGTTTACATTTCAAGTTAGTCTCTTATACAAAAATTTATATATACATTGTTAGGTGACCCTAATTGCTCTCCCTATACTAGGACAGCACACTCCTCCTTTCCACTCCTAATTTCCTGTGTCTATTCAACCAGCTCCTAACCCTGTCTGCCTTCTCATCTCACCTCTGGACAGAAGCTGCCCATTTAGTCTCATGTATCTACATGAGCTAAGAAGCACACTCTTCAAGAGTATCATTTTATGTCCCACGGTCCAGTTCCACCTTTGTCTGAAGCATTGGCCTCGGGAATTGTTTTAGTTCTGGGCTGACAGGGAGTCCGGGGGCCATGCTTTCCGGGGTTCCTCCAGTCTCAGTCAGACCATTAAGTCTGGTCTTTTTACTAGAACTTAAGTTCTGCACCCCACCTTTCTGCTGCTCCATCAGGGACTCTCTGTTGTGTTCCCTGTCAGGGCGGTCATTGGTGGTAGCCGGGCACCATCTAGTTCTTCTGGTCTCAGGCTGATGAAGTATCTGGTTTATGTGGCCCTTTCTGTCTCTTGGGCTAATACTTTCCTTGTGTCTTTGGTGTTCTTCATTCTCCTTTAGCCCAGGTGGTTAGGACCAATTGATGCATCTTAGATGGCTGCTTGCAAGCTTTTAAGAACCCCATACGCCACTCACCAAAGTAGGATGCAGAACATTCTCTTAATAAACTTTGTTATGCCAATTGACCTAGATGTCCCCTGAAAGCATGGCCCCCAGACCCTCGCCCCTGCTACTCTGTCTCTCAAAGTGTTTGATTTTATTCAGGAAACTTCTTAGCTTTGGTTTAGTCCAGTTGTGTTGACTTCCCTGTAGTATATGCTGTCCTTCCCTTCATCTAAGATAATTCTTGTCTACTATCTAGTTAGTAAATAACCCTCACCCTCCCTCCCCACCCTCGTAACCATCAAAGAATGTTTTCTTCTGTGTTTAAACCTTTTTTTTGAGTTCTTATAATAGTGGTCTTATACAATATTTGTCCTTCTGTGACTGAATTCACTCAGCATAATGCCCTCCAGATTCCTCCATGTAATGTTTCACGGCTTCATCGTTGTTCTTTATCATTGCGTAGTATTCCACTGTGTGAATATACCATAACTTTTTTATCTATTCGTCCATTAATGAGCACCTAGGTTGTTTCCATCTTTTTGCTTTTGTGAACAGTGCTGCAATGAACATAGGTGTGCATATATTTATTCGTGTGATAGCTCTTATTTCTCTAGGATATATTCCAAGGAGAAGGATTGCTGGATAGTATGGTACTTCTATTTCTAGCCTTTAAGGAAGCACCAAATCGATTTCGAAAGTGGTTGTGCCATTTTATATTCTCATGGGCATATTTTTAAATTTCCCTAAGTGATTCTAATATACAGCCTCAGTTAAGAACTGGTGTTTTAGGAGAATTTTTTTCATTTGGAACAATACTGACCTTGTATAAAATTCTCTGTCCAAGATAAGTACCCAGAAAAAGGAAAGGTGAATTAAACTATAATAAGTAAAGACACAACATCATCAACAACAAATCCTGAAAATATTCCATTAAAAAATGAGAAGAGAAGCAGAGGGGGCCGAGTGTGGGTGAAGAAGGGTGGGGAGTGGGGAAGTGAATGTCACAAATTACCAGAGCTCTGCAGCCCCTCAGGAAGAAGCAAAGATGGTGCACGGAGCCAGATTTCTGTGCTAAAATCATTGGAGGAAATCAAGTGTGTCCTCATTCAAGACCATGCATAGTCTTTATTAAAGGAAAAGAAAAATGTGGTGGGGCTTTGATTGCAAAAAACTGGGTGTTGACTGCGGCTCACTGTGCCCTGGACAAAAGAACCAAGGTCATTCTTGGAGCTCACACAAGAAACAATACTGAGCCAGAAAACCAAATTATGTCCATTAAGAAACAGATTGCCTATCCATGCTATGACCCAGACACACCTGAGGGTGATCTTAAACTTGTACAGCTGAACAAAAAAGCGAAACTTAATAAAAATGTGGCAATCCTTCCCCCACCTAAAAAAGGGGAGGATGTGAAGCCAGGAACAGTGTGCCGAGTTGCAGGGTGGGGGAAGTTTCACAATAATTCACCTCAGCCTTCAGATACTCTGAGAGAAGTCAGTATCACTGTCATAGACAGAAAAATCTGCAATGATGAAAAGCACTATAATTATAATCCTGTGATTGGACTGAATATGATTTGTGCCAGAAGCCTCAAAGGTGGAAAAGACACATGTAATAGAGATTCTGGAAGCCCTTTGATATGTGACAGTATTTGCAGAGGCAGCACTTCCTTCGGCCTTCGAAAGAAATGCGAGACCCTCGAGGACTTGGCGCCTATGTTCTTCTCTCAGAGAAATACCTCACGTGGATAACTAAGACTACCAAGGGGAAACCTTGGATAACTAAGAATATCAACGGGACAGCTTAGATAACTATCTCATTTACTGTCATTTCTTAATTTTACTATAAATAAAATCAATTTGTACGACTAAAAAAAATGAGAAGATTAAGAGAATGAGTAGACAACCCACAGATTGGGAGAAAATATTTGCAATATACATATGTAAAGATGGACTTGTGTCCAAAATACGAATGAATTCTTAAAACTCAAAAATAAGAAAAGAAATGGCACAATTAAAAAATGGGCAAAAAATCTGAACAGACACCTAACCAAGGAAGATATACAGATGGCGCATAGACATAAGAAAAGGTGCTCAAAATTTTATGTCATTAGGGAAATGCAAATTAAAACAACAATGAGATACCATTACACAGCTATCAGAATGGCTAAAGTCTAAACCATTTGTCAAATTATCTGATGAGAATGTGGAGCAACCGGAACTCTCACTGCTGGCAGGAGTCCAACATGGCAAGGCCACTTTGGAAGACAGTCTGGCAGTTTCTTACAAACTTAAACGTAAGCTTACCATACAATTCAGTAATTGTGCTCTTAGGTATTTACACAAATGAGTTGAAAACTATGATCACGCAAAAAAACTTCCTCTGAATATTTATAGCAGCTTTATTTATAATTTCCCCAAAATTGGAAGCATTTAAGATGTCTCTCAATAGATGAATGGATAAATAAACTGTGGTATATGCATACAATGAAGCATTACTCAGCAATAAAAATAAATGAGCTATCAAGCCAAGAAAAGACATGGAGGGAACTTAAAGGCATATTGTGAAGTGAAAGGAGCCAGTCTGAAAAGTCTGCATCCTATACGATTCTAATTATAAGGCATTTGGGAAAAGACAAAACTGTGGCCCTGGTGGCATAGTGGTTAAGTGCTATGACTGCTAACCAAAGGGTCGGCAGTTCAAATCCACTAGCCACTCCTTGGAAACTGTATGGGGCAATTCTACTCTGTCCTATAGGGTTGCTATGAGTCAGAATTGACTCTACGGCAATGGGTTTGGTTTTTTGTTTCTATGGAGACAGTAAGAAGGTCAGTGGTTGCCAGGGATGGGATAGGAGGGATGAATAAGTGGAACTCAGGCATTTAAGACAGTGAAACTATTCTGTATGATACTGTAGTGATGGAAACATTATCATTTCAAAAACCATAGAAACCATAGAACTATGCAAGCGTTCCTGGGTGGTGCAAAGGTTAATGTGTTTGGCTGCTAACCGAAAGGTTGGAGGTTCAAGTACACCCAGTAGTGCCTTGGGATAAAGCCTGGTGATCTACTTCCAAAATATTAGGTACTGAAAATCTTATGGAGTACAATTCTACTCTGACACACCTGGGAACTTCATGAGTCAGAATCGACTCGATGGCAACAACAATGTACAACAACAAAAAGTGAACTCTTATGTAAACTATGAGCTTCAGTTAAAATGATGTATCAATATTAATCAATTGTATAAAGTGTACCACACTATCGCAAGAGGTTAATGAGGGAAACTGAGGGGGAGGGGATGGTATATGGGAATTCTCTGTACTTTTTGCTCAATTTTTCTATAAACTTAAAACTACTCTAAAAAAAAAATCAATCAAAAAAAAAAAAAAAAAAGAGACCATGTTTCAGTTCTTAATGTATCCCTCAGGAAATGTCTGTTATTATTTGTAGTGGTTATACCATTTCACAATTTCATAAACAATGGTTAATAGTCCAAGTATATCCAAAAAAAAAAAAAAAAAAAAAAAAGGGTAGGGGGGTTGAACCTCTTACTAGAAAGGAAAGGGAAGATAATAGTTCTGCCAAAGGGGTAATACAGGAAACTAAGTGAGACTTCAGCTTTATGATCTAAATAAAATGTAAGAAAACTTGGTAGCTATGAAAAAAGAGATATAAAATTAGATTAAAACAATATACAGGTTAAAAAAACATATTTGAAGAGGAAAAGTTAGAAAACCAACAAGATCATCAAAAAGAAATGTTTCTGGATAAAGTGGAATTGCCACTGTAGAATTTTTCGTTTATTTTCAAACCAAATTTATTTTCAGAGAAATCTGCCACTACATTACTTTATTGTGTCCATAATATTTTAAAAAATATTTTATTTAGATATAACTGACGCTGCATAAACTCATCGTTTTTGAAGTGAGTGTAAAATTGAGTTGTTTTTCAGCATATTTACAAGGCTGTGTAATCATCACCATTATACAATTCCAGAATATTTTTGTCACCCCAAAAAGATACCCCATAACCCTAACCAATCATGCTCCAATAGCCCCTCCCCCCAACCCTTGGAAATCGCTAATGCACTTTCTATGAATTTTCCTATTCTGGATATTTCACATAAACCGAATCATATACTATGTGGTCTTTTGTGTCTGGCTTCTTTTACTTGACATATTTTCAAGATTCATCCATATTGTAGCATGTATTGTTACTTCATTTTTATGACTGAATAATATTTCATTGTATAGATACGCCACATTTATTTATCCATTCATCAGTTGATGGGCGTTTGAATTGCTTCTACGTTTTGGCTATTATGAATAACGATGCCATGACCGTTCCTGTACAAATTTTTGTGAGAACATAGGTTTTAATTTCTCTTGTGTATGTGATTAAGAGTGGAATTTCTGGGTCATATGGTAACTCTATGTTTAACTTTTTGAGGTACTGACCAACTGTTTTCCAAAGTGGCTGTGACATTGTAAATTCCTACCAGCAAAGCGCGAGGGTTCCAACTTCTCTGCATCCTCTCCAACTCTTGTTGTCTGTCTTTTTTTATGATAATTTAAGCGAGAATGGAATATCATCTTACTGGGGTTTTGATTTCCATTTTCCTAATGACTAATCATGTTGAACGTCTTTTCATATGCTTATAGGCCACTTGTATACCTTCCTAAAGAAATGTTTGCTTAAATCCTTGACCAACTTTCTAGTGGGTTATTTATCTTTTTTTATTGAATTACAAGTGTTCTTTATATATTCTGGATACTAGACCTTTTTGGATATATAATTTGCAAATATCATCTCCTATTCTGACGATTATCTTTTTATTTTCTTGATAGTATTCTTTGAAGCAAAAAAAAAAAGGTTTTTTAATAAAGTCCAATAATCTTTTTGTAAATTTTTCATTGGTTGCTTGTGCTTTGTGTGTCATATCTAAGAAACACTACCCAAGTTCATGATGATTTACACCTACTTTTTCTTTTGAGGGAGTCCCTGAGGGATGCATACGGTTAACCCACCCAGCTGCTAACTGATAGGGTGGAAGTTCCAGTCTACCCAGAGGTGCTTCAGAAGAAAGGCCTGACAATCTATTTCTGAAAAATGAGTCACTGAAAACCCTGTGAAGCACAGTTCTACTCTGACATGCATGGTGTTGCCACAAGTCAGAGTCTACTCGACAGTAACTGACTTTCTTCTAAGAGTTTTATACTTTTAGTTCTTAAATTTTGGTCTTTAATCCATTTAGGTTAGTTTTTGTATATGTTGTGATGTAGGAGCCCTGGTGGCATAGTGGTTGAACAGAAAGATTTGCAGTTCAAATTCACCAGCCACTCCTTAGAAATCCTATGGGATAGTTCTACTCTGTCCTATAGGTTTGCTATGAGAGTTGGAACTGACTCCACCGCAACAGGTTGTCATGTAAAGAACCAACTTTATTCATTTGCATGTAAATCTATCTGGTTGTTTCAGCAACACTTTTTCCCCAATTAATTGTTTTATCACCCTTGCAGAAGATGAGTTGTCCTTAGTTGTATGGATTTATTTCTGGACCCTCATTTCTATTCCACTAATTTATTTGTCTATCCTCAGGCCAGTACCTCACAGTTTTGATCACTGTAGCTTTGGTAATAAGTTTTAAAATCAAGTAGTGTGAGTCCTCTAACTTTATTATTATTATTATTTTGTAAGATTGTGTTGGTTATTCTGGGTCCCTTGAAAATTCCATATGAATTTTAGAATTAGTTTGTCATTTCTGAAAAAAAAAAAAAAAGCAGTGAGATTTTGATAGGGATTGCATTGACTCTGCAGATAGCTTTGGAGAGTATTGCCATGTTAACACTATGAAGTCTTCCAATTCATGAACTTGGAAAGTCTTTCCATTTATTTAGATCTTCACTAATTTACTTAAATGATGTTTTTTAGTTTTCAGTGTGCAGGCCTATGCTTCTTTTATTAAGTTCATTCATGAGACTTTTATTCTTTGTGATGTTATTGTAAATGGAATTGTTTTTTAATTTCATTTTTGGATTATTCACTGCAAACATACAGAAATACAACTCCTTCTTGTTTATTGACCTTGAAGGCTTCAACCTTGATGAACTCATTTATTAGCACTAATAGGTTGTGTGTGTGTGTGTGTGTGTGTGTGGTTTTCTATATTCAAGATCATGTCATCTACACATAGAGATAATTTTATTTCTAATTGTCCTGTCCAGAACCCCCAGTGTAAACACTGAATAGAAGTAGTAAGAACGGACATCCTCGCCTTGTTTCCGATCTTAGGAAAAAAGCATCCAGTTTTTCACCAGTAAGTATGATGCGAGGTCTGACTTTTTTTGCAGACACTCTTTATATTCCTGGTATGTTGAATATTTTTATCACAAAAAGGTATTGGATTCTGTCAAATGTTTTTTCTGCTTCATATAATTTTTGTCCTTTAGTCTGTTAACATAGTATATGGCTTACTTTCCTTATGTTCAACCGACCTTAAGTTCCTAGGATAAATTCCACTCTGTTATGACATAGAATCCTTTTCACATGTGCTGAATTCGATTTGCTAGTATTTTATTGAGGATTTTTGCATCTATATTTATAAGGGATATTGGCCTGAAGTTTTATCTTTTCATGATACCTTTTTCTGGTTTGGATATAAGGGTAATACTGGCTTCATAGAATTGGAGCTGTTTTCTGCTGTTCTTATTTTTTGGAAGAATTTGTGAAGTATAGGTGTTACTTCTTTAAGCGTTCAATAGAAATCACTAGTAAAGCTGTCTGATCCCGGGCTTTTCTCCTAGG